AATTTTTTTATTTTTTTAAATGTTTATTTATTTATTTATTTATTTATTTATTTATTTATTTATTTCTAGGAGAGAGAGAGAGACAGTGTGAGCAGGGGAGGGTCAGAGAGAGAGAGGGAGTCACAGACTCTGAAACAGGCTCCAGGCTCCGAGCTGGCAGTCAGCACAGAGCCCGACGCGGGGCTCGAACCCACAAACCACGAGATCATGACCTAAGCAAAAGTTGGACGCTTAACCGACTAAGCCACCCAGGCGCCCCCAAGAAGAATTTTTTAAAAGTCGTATGCCACCCACAGTGGCATGAGTTGCCACTATGAGTTTTTCTTCTTTGTTCAAAAGTCCCAGCAGTTGTTTCAGAGTTTGGATGAATGCAGAAATTTTGTTCTGCAACCAGCTGACTTATTCCAATTTCTTCAATTGCTTTATCTGGGCATAAATGACAGGCAGAAGTAACAACCAGCTATAATTTTATTGCTTCACTGGAGGTGGGTTCAATGGACAGAACCTTTTATAATAAATATTAAAGTAGCAAGCAAGCATTAGATGTTAGAGTCATCATGACATTTACGTGAACAGCCAACAGTGTCTGTCAACCTAAGTCTTAGCTGCCATCACCATCCTCACCGTCATTGCCGTCCTCACCGTTCTCATCAGCCGTCACCGCCCTCACCATCCTCATCATCAACACTATCGCCATCATCTTTTTAGAGAAGGGTCATGAGGATCTTTGTGCGATTCACTTAAAGGCCACAGGGTGTAAAATGACAACTTGCCAAATCTTGCCTTTTCCCCACCAACATCATTATCTGTATGTTGCTTGGGGGGCTTTAAGCCTGTAAAAGAGATTATAACCAAGGCCCTTCCAGAGTCTGCTGCCCACAGTCCTTGGGCACTGCCATCACCAGCCTCTCCATCACAAGGCATGCAGGGCAGCACATCATTTCTCAAAAGACTTTCAGAGGGACCCTTAGTGCAGGACCTGGGAGAATAGGCAGGGTAACTGTTCCCTTGTCACACTTGGTAGATGAGGGAACCATGCTGGAGTCAGTCACAGCAGGTTTCTGGTCTGCTCCTTCCCACCACTGAGGTTTCTTTCAGATTGTTTTCATAGTACTTAGCAGTGTATTGCTACATGATGGGCCCTTTAATTTTTCAAATGCTAAATGCAGAATAAGGTGAAATCTCTGTTGTTCATTGTAGCTTCTGACTTACACAGGGTCTCTTGCAAAGCCCCAGATGCTGCACCCATACAGCCCTGTGCAGCCAGTGTGCTCACTTTTGACTGAACAACTTCTAAATTCATTTCAGTGAGCTTAAATTCATGTCCACACATCCCACTGTGCCCTCCATGTTGCTCAGCAGCCACACCCCACTTCTCCCAGCCTCCTAGTTCATTAACACACTCTCCTCTGTCCTCGCACTCAGGCTTCCGGCATCACTGAGAAACTAGAAACCATCAGAAGAGACCTTTTGTAAGCTCCCACCTCCACATCCACCCACCCCAGATCCAGGTCATTATATTCTGCCTTGCCATTAAATAGATGAAAGGTCTGTGTTTCTCTCTAAGGCCTTGCCACCCCCCTCCCACGCACCCGCCTCCATTCACTGAATCTCATCCCCTCTCACCTACTCAGAGTCCTGAAGCTAGTAGTTCTCCATGCATTCCCTCATATCATTTTTTCTTCCCTCTCAACTGGATTATTTCCATCAGCATTAAGACATGTTTCTCCCATCTCAAATACCAAAAATCTTAAAAGATTTTTTAAAATGTTTTAATGTGGTAAAAGACACATGGGAAAAAATTTACCATCATAACCATTTCTGTTTTTTTTAATTTTATTGTGTATTTATTTTTGAGAGAGAGAAAGCAGAGTTTTTGATGGTAGCTATCCTAATGGATGTGAATCATTTGATCTGACTTTTCTTTCTTGCTGTGGCTAATATTTGACTCCCCTTTCAGACAGACCTCCTTGAAAGAGGTGACTTTACTTCTTGATCCCAATGCTTCTCTCCCCATTATTTCTTGAGCTAATTATAATCAGGTTCTTTTCCCACCCAGTGCAGGACCACCTCTCTTGCTGAGAAGTTGCACATCTAAGGGCCACTTCCAGTCTTCCTGTCAGAGCGGAGCTTTTGACATGACCGACCACTCTCTTCTTCATGAAACACTTTCTCCATTTGGCTCCCACAAGGCCACACTCTTCCAGTTGTCTTTCCACCCCACTAGATGTCTTTCCTGTTTTTTTAAAATTTTTGGGGGGGCGCCTGGGTAACTCAATTAAGTGTCTAACTTCAGCTTAGGCCATAATCTCGCGGTTTACGAGTTCAAGCTCTGTGTCGAGCTCTGTGCTGACAGCTCAGAGCCTGGAGCCTGCTTCGGATTCTGTGTCTCCCTCTCTCTGCCCCTCGCTCACTCAAACTCAATATCTCTCTCTGTCTCTCTCTCAAAGAACTGAATAAAAGATTAAAAAATTTAAAAAAATTTTAATGTTTTTATTCATTTTTTGAGAGAGAGAGAAAAAGAGAGCATAAGCAGAGGAGGGGCAGAGAGAGAGGGAGACACATAATCTGAAGTAGGCTCCAGGCTCCAGGCTGTTAGCACAGAGCCTGATGTTGCATTTGAACTCACAGACCATGAGATCATGACCTAAGCCAAAGTCGGCCGCTTAACCAACTGAGCCACCCAGGCACCCCTTTCCTGGTTTGTTTTGCTAGTTCCTCCTCATCTCTCCAAGACTCTTCATATTGAAGTCTTGTAGGGCTCAGTGCTTAGATTTTTCTCTTTCCATCTACATTCCTTCCATGTTATTCTCTGATGATCTTGCCCATTATCATGGCCTTAAATGTCAACTCTATATTGATGATTCTCAAATTAAATCTCCCTATAGACTTTCCTCCAGAATGCCATACTTTAGTACATGCACCTGCCTACTTAACATCTCTACTAGGATGTATGCATCATAAACTTGACATGTCCAAAATAAGCCTCTGGTCTTCCCTAGTCTGTCTCCCACCCCCCAAAAATCCAGTATTCTATCTACAGACTTCCTGGCCCAAATCTTGGAGTCATCTTGGACTTCTTTCTCTCTCACACACACCACATTCAGTGTGGCAGTAAGTCCTGCTGAGTCTACCTTGAAATTCTATGCAGAGTCTGTCCACCTCTCAGCTCCTCCACTCCTATCAACCTAATCTAATGTACCATCATCTCTCACCTACTCTGGATTAGTGGTCCTCCCACTTGTGCCCCTTTAGTCTCTTCTCAAAACAATAGTCAGATTGTTAAAATGTCAGTTTAGATCCTGTAGTTTCTCTGCTTTAAAGAGCTCAGAGTAGGGGCACCTGGATGGCTCAGCCTATTAGGTGTCTGACCCTTGATTTTGGCTCAGGTCATGATCTTGCAGTTTTGAGATCAAACCCCACATTGGGCTATGCACTGCGCATGGAGCCTGCTTGGGATTCTCTCTCTCCCTCTGCCCCTCCCCAGCTCATGTGCACACATACTTTCTTTCTCTGTCTCGAAAAATACAATACAATACAATACAATACAATCAAAAGGAGCTCAGAGTAAAAGTCAAAGAACGTACAGTATCCTGCAAAGCCCTGTGGTTTTATCTCTCCAGTCTCACTACTGTTTCCCTCCAGGCATGCTTTTGTTTTGGGACCTTTGCACTTGATATTCTCACTCACTGGAAAATTCTTCCCATAGACATGGGTATGACTTGTCCCTCCCTGCCCCCCCATCTCCCTGGAATCTTTGTGCAGTGTCACCCAAGAAGTGCCTTAACCACCCTATTTTAAAATTTCAATTTAAGAGTGTCTGGGTGGCTTCTTTGGTTGGATGTCCAACTTTTGATTTCAGCTCAGGTCATAATCCCATGGTTGTGGGATCGAGTCCCACACTGTCAAAGCACCACAGAGCCTGCCTGGGATTCTTTCTCTCCCTCTCTCTCTGTCCCTGCTCCCCACTTGTGCTTGCTCTCTGTCTCTCTGTCTCTCTCTCAAAGAAACATTTAAAAAAAATAAATAAGATTTTAATCTAAAGTACAACTCAATTATACTTTATTCCCTTTCTCTCCTTATTTTTACCTCCAGCTATTATCACCATCTAATATACTATATCATATACTTTATTCTGTTGGTTGTCTGTTTACCTCCAATAGAATGTCATTCCATGAGGGCAAAGATGTTTGTCTGATTTGTTCCCTGTTGTATCCCTAGTAACTAGAAGAGTGTCTGGCTTTCAATAGACACTCAATACATATTTGTTGAGTGAATACATGAATAAATGTAGAACGAGTGCATAATTAGCAGGAGGAATACTGTTTTTTTCAAGACTGCTATTATTATTATTCTATCCTAAAAATACAGATAGCAAGTTAGAATTGGGTGGGGTCGGCATATATATTAACAACAAAATACACACACCTTGCTACTCAAAGTGTGGTCCACGGACCAGCAGCATTTCTGATTTCAAATGAGACCTTCAAGGTGGCAGCTTCTCACTACCAGACAATACACTCCTGTCCACCCTTGGAGGAATGGATTCTGCTCACTTTTCCAACAGGATCCAGTGACCTTTGAGAGCAGAAAGCTCAGCAGAGAGTGAGGATCAGTCTCAGGGTGGCTGTTGGGAAAGCTCTGACCACAGAATTCTAAGGATTCACAGCCTGGGAATCCCCTACCCTGCATCCTGCACTCAGAGAGCTCATTCGCTTCAACTGTTCCTAGCTCTTGTGTTCCCACACTCATTGCCCGACGCAACCATTTCCTGGGTGGCTCCACTATAAGGGTGGGGTGCAGAGCTGACCTCTGAGCGTGACCCCAAACATGAATCTTGATCATGAACTTGAATCTGAAGTTCAGCTCCTTAGCTGTACAATAAAAAGGTGTGGAAACATGATCAAGTAACAAAGGTTAATTGACATCCAGGAAAAATTTGGAGCAAGTGTAGGAAGCGTTTCCAGATTTTCCTTGATCAAATGGGCTCTGTCTTGCAGCTCAAGTCTCGGGTTCTTATGACTCCTTTAGCCCTCTCACCTCCGCGGAGCACACCGGAGCCAGATCTCAGCTCCATCCCTCAGGATGCAGCCACCATACCCAGCTTGGCCGCCCCACAGGCTCTCACAGGTAAGTCAGAGGATGACCTCTAAGGCTGTGATGGTCAGCCAGCCAGCTAGCAGTTACTTTGTGAACTGAAGAGTTGTCACTGGGATAGCTCTAATGAAGGATTTAGTGTGTTCACTGGTGGACAGAAAAACCAGATTCTCTGAGAATATTAGTTTAAGTGTCTCACAGGTAGGATTACTTGAAACTTGGTTTTCAATGCACCTTAGATTCAGCTGATTGCTTTGGGGTGGGGCTAGAAAGAGTGGTTTGGTGGCCTAGTGTTTTATTTTCAGAGCCAGGTTTACTTTCCACCAAGAGAGACCCTGCTTGCCTTGAAGAGTTTCCATCTCTGTGTTTGTGCTTCCAGACCCCCTAAAGACCCTAACTTCTCTTAATCCTACCTGGTGGCTCCAATGCAGTCAAAGTAGAGCTCAGTCCAATCTTTCTCATGGGGTGTCCATCAACAAACAGTTCCATCAGGAAAGTACCAGCAGTAGGGTGGCATCCCTCTCTCTCACACACATATATACTGTCCTTCTCATCACAAGCCACTCCTACTCCCATCCCGCTTAAATCCATTCAATTCCCCTCCTGTTGCTCTTAGGTAAAAATCAAACTTGTTAATCTGGTCGATGGAGCCCTGTGGTTCATTGCTCTCCTCTCAGTCCCTAAACACTGGCCTCCATCCCCCTCACCCCATAGGATTTCGGCATATTGCCTTCCCATCTAGAATGATCTTCCCACTGGTCCCCTACTCCTCCCTTTTATCTCAGTGCAAGCATACCTTGCTCCAGAAAACCATCACTGACTCCTGCCAGGGTCTTCAGGATGGGCCGGTCTAGCACTTCCCTAGTGATTCTCTAGAAACCATGGTCCCACATGGCTTCCTGTGGAGCTCTGAGTAGCTCTGGCTCCCCAGCTGGGCCCCAAGCTCTGGGAAGCCAGGGACCGTGTGAATCTGGTTCACTATTTTCTCTGTAGGATCAATCTAGCACAGTGCCTGGCATGAAGTTCCCTTATTGATTAGATTTCCGTAATCATCTGGGATGAGTGCAAGAGAAGGCAGCCTAGTGGAGCAGAAAAAGCACAGGCCTTGACATCAGAAAGACTTGAGTCCAGATCCCCGTTGTACCATTAATTACACTTTAGACTTTAGAACAGCCATCCAACCCCTTAAGCTTTGGTTTCTTCATTAGTAAAGAAAGTAATCATACGCTGCTCTCGGGCTCATCTTGAGAATCAAACAAGATAAAGTGCACAAAGTGCCTGGAATAGAGTAGGTGCTCAATAAAAGCTTTCTTCACCTTTGTTGTTACTGTTTCATCCTTTCCAAATCCTACTGGTGTCCCCTTAATGCCCCTTTTCAACACTGCTTTGCACTAACAGCCCCCAAGGTAAGTTCCTCATACCCTGGAATGGAGGTAGCCAGGGGAGACAAGCAAGGAGTTGTTAACATGGGGAAGAAAATATGACACCTACTATTAATCTTTACTTAAAAAATTTCTATTTCTTGGTTATGTTTTAAAATGCATGCAATATATTAAAATAGTCAGGAATGTATATAACCTATAAAAAATAAACACGTTTTGGGGCATGTGCTCAAGATTTGTTTACTGATGGGATATAATACTTTAATAGCATGGGGACCATTGGTTGGGCTATCCTAAATGGGCAGCTGAGTATTTAAAATCTCTGACATTAAATTTAGCACTCTCTTTAGAACTTCATTGAATATACAGTCTTTGGAGTAATCAGCATCATCTTAATTTTTTCATTCACTGAAGGTTAACTAAAAGATTGGGCAAACATTATGTTTAAGCTTAACAGCTCCTTTCGAGGAGGAGGGAAGATATTATACGTGTGCATGCCCAGTATGGAAATACATTTATACACATGGTCCATATTGGCCTCCATTATTATCTGCAATTCAGATTCAAATACATCAGAGGGGACTCACCTGTCTATCTGTTTCCAACCAAGAGGTTCTCTTCAGAGCAAACCTGGCAGTTGGGAGCGATTGGCTTTTTTGCCCCTTTTCCTTCTTACGTTGGGGAGAATCAGTCCCACTTTTGTTCTTCTCAGCCTTCCCCAAGGTGAGGGCCAAGGGGGCATCCATGCACATAGGAGCAGCCCCCTGGCCTGTCTGATGCACCTGATGCTGAGGGCTTTGTGGCTCTGTTTCCACAGTCTGCCTCTACATCAACAAGCAAGCCAATGCAGGGCCGTACCTGGAGAGGAGGAAGGTGCAGCAGCTTCCCGAGCACTTCGGGCCCGAGAGGCCGTCGGCAGTCTTGCAGCAGGCTGTGCAAGCGTGCATCGACTGTGCCCACCAGCAGAAGCTGGTCTTCTCCCTGGTCAAACAAGGCTATGGTGCCGAGATGGTATCAGGTAAGGCCCCGGGGCACACTGTATGAGAAGGTCCATGGTGTCTCTCTGAAGACAGAAGAAGTCATATTCAGGCTTGGGGGATAGTGGCTGTGGCAAAGTGTCTGTCTTTCATCTGCTGGGCTCCAGGGGGTCTTAGATTAGCCTGTGTGCTGACGGCCTTTCTCTGGGCTCAAGGAGAAGATGCTTCCAGACCTCAATAAGAATCCTCATCTTTGACTCTTCTCTCTACTGATAAGCTTCCCATGCCCAGTTCATCAGTAAATCCTATTGCTCCAACTTCAAAATATATCCAGAAGCCAGCCATGGTTCACCCCTAACAGCAGCCACTCTTTTTCTTTAAAAATCAAAGTTATATCGTGCCCCTCCTCTGCCCTGCACCCTCAATGGCTCTCATGTCACTCCAGGAAAAAGCCCATGTCCTTATGATGACCCAGAGGCCCTATGTGACCTGGCCCTGGCTACCTCTTTGATCTCCCAGTCACTTGTCTTAAGTCCTCGCTCTGCTGTAGCCATGGTGGCCTCCTTGCCGTTCCCCCTGTTATCCTCCAACCATGCTTCTGCCTCATGGTCTTTGCACCTGCTGTTCTTTCTGGAATGTTCTTCCCCCAGCTGTCCATGTGTGACTTGCTCCTGGACTTCCTTCGGGTTTCAACTCAAATGCTGCCTTATCCAGGAGACCTTTACTGAACACCCAGTCTAAAATATCAGCCCATGTCACAATCTATTCTCCCTTCCTTTGCCTCATTCCTTCTTCATGACACATATTACCATGCAGGGCTGTGAGGAAGCTCATGGTCCCAAGCCCCTCTTATGGGGTGGGTTGTTGTTTTTTGTAAAAGCTCCTTCAGGGTCAATCCCTTCTCCCATTGGCACCACCATCATCCAGGTTCAGCCCTGCCCCAGGAGCTTCCAGAGGGAGTGGCAGTTGTCAACTAAGGTGGGAGGCAGAGTTGGGAGCACTGCCCCCTTCAAAAGTTTGACTGCAGAGGCTCTTTCTGCCTTACCCATGGCTCTCTACACAATCGTTGTTACCATTTGCCCTTAAGCCTCAGAGCACCAGCCCTTTGCAAGATGTCTTGACTCCAAGGGCACAGCATGGTGTCTTCTTTGGCCCAGCATCAAAGCCATGGCCTCTGTATCACCAGGGAGTAGAGAGAAGATTCTCCAGCAATGGGGTGGTGCAGATAACCCTGCCAGCCATCTAAGAGTAGGTCAGGGGAGAGGGGCCTCTAATATCGCTGTGTCCTAAAGAACCAAAGCAGGGACATCTTATTTAACTCGAGATCCCCAGGGCTTGGGGATGAGGAGGTTGTCTAACCAGTTTCGCCAGCTGTGATTGGTTCTGCCCACCTTCTGGAGCTCCCTCCGGGCAGGAAGCTGGGTCTGACTTGCTGGTAACTGACTAAAATAGAACTTGGCAAAGTCTGGGTACGTGTGGCTGACCCAGGGTGACTTTTAAGAAACTTCAGCAGATGCACGCAGAGATAAGAGGAAGAAGTACTGCACTGAGAGAGGCTATGAGGAGAGTCTTGTTGTCAGCTTTCTGAGAGCCCACAGGCCATTTTTCTCCTGGTATTTGTCTGAGGGCTAGGTTCTCAAACCTCTCTCAGGCTGAAGGCCTTGTCCTTTTCCTTGCTGAAGAGCAGGGCTCAAGACACAGACATAGTGCTAAGAGAAAGTTCTTCCTGTACTGGGTGCCCACCCTCTTGAGCGAATTCCATCCCACTGAGTTTTTTATGGCCCTTCCCCCTAAGGTGGGAGAACCATTTTCCCTGCTCTCCTGCTCAGCCCTTCTGTGGCCTCAGGGGCCTTGGCACTGGGGAGCAGGTTCCACAGTGTCTGGCACAACACAAGCTTGGGCAAAGCCCTGCCAACTTTCCCTTGGCTGAGGGATTCCCAGGAAGCAAAGAGCTGAGCGCTCAGTCTTAGTATCTTGGAGAATCCAGGAGCGCCAGAGGACTCCTCATGCTGCTTCCTGGAGGTGGCAGAGTGGCAAGGCGGTCCTTCATGTTACTGATGGTGATGTGGAAGCTCAGAAAGCTATGAGAGGGGCTCAGGGAGAAATAGACAGACTCTCCCACTTTCCACCTCATCCTCAGGGCATGCTTTCTGAACATTCCCATGGCACAACACAGAAAATGGTGACATTTGTGCTGAGCTAAAGGAACCAGACTGCCATGGGTGGGCCTTGGGCCACCTCAAGGCCTCAGGGAGCAGTATTGCGTGCCTTGCCTGAGCCATGCTATCCCAGAGGGGTAGGCCTTATGGTCTCATAAATGCCTTGGTTGCTTCTAGGAGGTGGCCCTTCCAGGCACCTCCGAGAGTGTATGCACCTTGATTTTTGGATTAGGCCTGATGACCCAGACTCTCCTGCTGTGGATTCAGTTTCCATCAGTTAATCTTCTAAAATATTGGAGGCAAACAGCAACACTCCCACTAAGAGGGGATTTCCAGAGTGTCTGAGTTGTCAGGATCAACCCCTCAGTGGGCCTGTTGGTTGTGCTTTGCCTGCTCTCCCAAGCAGAGTCACTTGGAGTATTAACACGACGGCCAAGGGCTCCCTCGAGGCCACATGAGTGGAAAAACTGCTCTACGCCCTCTTCTCAGTCCCCTTATCTGTAACATGGGGTAGTAACCTCTTGTCTAGTGTCCTCACAGGATAGTCATGAGGCCCAAACGATGGAAACAAATGTTCTTGTCAAAATATAAAGAGTTTATACACACAAAAACCAGATTCTTCTCATTTCTGACTAAAATGTTTTTTGTGTTAGTTCTGAAATCAAAACTAGCCTTGTTTTTGTCCCTGTCCCAGCCCCTGTTATGTGCCAGTCTTTGGTAGATAAAGTGTAAAAAACTGGGCTACCCTCTTGGTGTTAACCGTGAGTGGCAAAGGCATGGGTGGGGTCAGGATGTCCTCCTAGGGTCTCCTCCTGGGTTCCTCACACCTGAGCTGGCACGCAAGCTCCATGGGGCAAGAGAGGGCTGTGAGGACAATTATAGAAAGGAGCATGCTAGAAGAAGCATGTTTTCTAAATTCTGGTAACCCTGTAGAAATTGAATTTGATCGAGAATCATTATGGAGAGATTACTGTTCTTTTTAAAGAGTCCTCCCAAGAAGGGTAGAAAGAACCCTAAACTCTGTGATGCTGGACTAAAGCTAGAGACCTCAGCATGAACTCAGGTTTACTTAGATATCTCTAGCTATCTAGATCTAGACCTACTTCACAATGAGCATATTCAGCGCCCAAATCTCGGTTTCTAAATATAACTCTTCAATAACAAGGAACCAAGGCTGTTGAAGAAATGGCTGATTTTAGGGCATGGGCAGGGGAAAATGTAAGATGAAACTGAGGCATATTAAAGTGTCAGTAACCAAAGAGTTGTTAAAAAAAAAAAAATGAGGGCATGTCATAGGGACACAGGACACTAGAAGTCCCAAAGACAAAATTTGAGCAACAAAATAAATAACACAGTATTGGATAACCCACAGTACAAAATGAATGTATTAAGTCTACACTGATATTATCCAATGATTGAATAAATGCAGGAATGAAGGAATAAATGGAGGAGAATGGATAGTTCTTTCTTATAGAAGAATTCCAAATGATACAGAAACTCTCCCCTCTTCAAGAGGTAGATCTTAGTCCCTCCACCACTCTTGAGTGTGGGCAGGACCTTGTGACTTGTTTCCAAGGAATGGAATACGGAGAATACAGTGGAGAAATGCAGCAAACGCTCTCTGCCCAAGCGATAAGGACTGACGCCCCAATGATGTCGTTGGGACATCATGTACCCCTGATCAGATAACAGGAGAGGGACACTTCACTTCTTCCCCCAAAACGTTAACCCCAGTCACATCATGAGAAAAACATCAGACAAACCCAAATTGAGGAATATTTTACAAAATATCTAACTGGTACTCTTCAAGACTGTCAAGGTTATGCAAAACAAGGTAAGACTAAGAACAAGTCACAAACCAGAAGACACTAAGGAGAAATGACAACCAAACCCAGTGTGGTGTCCCGGATGAGATCCTGGAATAGAGGCAGGACATTAAGTGAAAAAGCAGGTGAAATCTGAATAAAGCTTAGTTAAAAACAAAACACACTGAACAGACAAAGACCCTCCTCCCAGGGACTTGTGGCCTTCTCATACCCGGCTCTGAGTTGCTATTTCTGTGGCATTTCAGTGTCCGCATCCTTCGATGGGAAACAGCACCTGCGGAGCCTGCCTGTGGTGAACAGCATCGGGTACGTCCTCCGTTTCCTCGCCAAGCTGTGCCGAAGCCTCCTGTGTGATGACCTCTTCAGCCACCAGCCCTTCCCCAGGGGCTCTAGCGGCTCTGAGGAAGCCCAGGAGAAGAAGGAAGGCAGGATGGAGTCAGGTAGGCTTTGTTCTTCTGCCTTCCCTGTGCCTGCAGGTGGTCCCCCTGTGTCTCCGCCCTCCCAGGAGCTCCTGGAAGCTCTCTTACTGGAGGCCACAGGTAGCCTCTCTGCCAACCTCCCCCCCCACCCCCCCATCCCAGGAAATAGTCAGGAATGGCCAAGACTGAAGGTACCCTGGCAGTCCCCACCCAGGTTGCAGTGGGAAGAGATCACTCCAGCTACTGAGAGCTGATGCTATAGCTTTTAGGCGTATGTTATTAGAATCTGGATGAGACCACATCACATGTTAGTGATTTTCTTCACTCTTCTTTAACTAAGACTTTGGGGCACTTATGCATCATTGTTGAGTAGCTAAAAGACTATGACACTAACTAAGAAATCCTGAAGAAACTAGGGATAAGGAATAGATTATGTTGGTCTTGCCTGGGGACCTCAGATACCCACCGATCTCAATAAACGGAGTGTCTTTCCGTTTTCACCAGGATTTCACCAGGCTACGAATCAAATATGTTTTTCAGTCTAAGAGTTAGTGTTTCTCTCTCATTACGGGATGGAGAGTGAACCAAGGGCTCAGGGGCTGACTGCCTTTTGTTGCAGACGAGCTCAGCACAGGAAAGCTAGTGGGAAGGTCAGTAGGAGCACACAGGGGCCACACTGCCAAAGTTGTCACAACATTGTCTGCTCAAGGGGCTAGATAACCACAGAAGATTTTCCTTCTCCGCTTAGCAGCCCTGAGTTATGGATTTTCAGAAAGTTGAACGTGGCTCTAGGTTCCCCAAGATGAGCAGAAATGTTGCCTTTTTTCTTTCTCAGGAAGCAGTATTGTTAATATATAGAGAACACATAGCCAATGAAACTGGAATCTAGTCATTATGTCATTCTATAAACGTTTGCCGAAACTTCTTCTGTTCCAGCCACCATGTGAGACCTTGTCTTGTGATAAGACCAATACACAGGTTCAGAAGGCTTTTGAGGTATTGAGTGACCACTGTTCATAATGAAAAATGAATACATTTGCAGGTATGTGTTCACAGGTAGTCTTAGAGGCTTAAAAAAAAAGATGCTTATAATAAGAGCGGCTATATGGGAAGCCTAAGACGACAGCAGGGAAGGGTAAACCTAGATTCTTAGCATAGATTTTTGTCAGATACTGTCAGGAACCTTGTTTACAATTTTACATTAATGACTCTGAGACCTGGGATCAGGAAGAAATTTGGCCTTTACAAAGAAAGCTACCTAGTTAAATATAGTCTATGTTAGCAGGTACTATATATGTTTGTGGGTTTTTTTTTTGTTTGTTTTTGTTTTGTTTGTTTGTTTTTGATGTCTCTATATGGGCAAGCTTGGGAAAATGTTTTCTTCTTTTTGGGCCTCCATTTCCTAAATGAGGTATTGCTCGTGCACAATGTACCTTCTGTTTCTTACAGTATGAATCTGGTCTCTCCGGTCAGCTCTAGCTGACTCAGGAACATATCCTAAAGCTAATGTATCTTCTGGTGAACCTTGCAGTGAGACTAGCAGAATGGTCTGCTTTCACTTTGCAAACCCCTTGAATCACTGTTACATTGAACAATCAATGACCCACGGGATATAATAATAAAGCCACGTAATTCATGTCTCCCATTCCCCTTTAAATATATCCTGTGGGACCACTTCTTTCCTGTCCATGGATGAAATTTTGGACAAATCTTATGACTTTTCTTGCTCCTTTCAGGTAACAGAGCATTCTCTAGTCAATAATTAATATACCTAGGTCAGAGTAAGAATAAAACTTTAAATTTCACTCAAAGATGTAACTATTCCCCATTCCCAGTTCAGATCTGCTTCAGGCCAGTTGTCCTCTCTCCACCTCACACTTAACTTTGTATTTTTGTCCCCTCCTTTATTTAGCTAATAATGATTTTGAATCCTTCATGACCAGAGTAGGGGACGGAAGAGAAGTAAAGGGTAGGGGAGTTTTTACTTGACTAATCTTGCTGTGAGTTGGCATAATATGCCCTAGTTCTCAGGTGTTTAAAGCTGGTTCTTCATCCTGTGGGTTCTTAATTACATGGGCATGTTGGTGATCCTACCATCTCTCATTTGCACTTTCCGTATCATGAACAAATATAATTCTTCTCTGGCTGGTCACTTATAATTCCTTCCACGGCCCCAAATCTGTACAAAACCCATCTCTAGCTTCTTTCTGCAGAGGCACAACAGTGCCATCACACAGTCCTGCAGAAAGAATCTAAGATGATCTTCCTTTAGATCTCTCTTTTAATGGTCCACATATGGTCCTGACAAACACTTCCCAAAAAACTCTTGCCAGGCTGAACCCTGCAGGCACCTCTCTTTTGTTCTGTTATCAAAATAGCCAGACGTTTGGATTTCCCATGGGAATCAAACAATAATCCATTGTGTCTTTCTTTTTTTTTTAATTAAAAATTGTTTTAATGTTTTATTTATTTCTGAGAGAGAGAGAGAGCGTGAGCAGGGAGGGTCAGAGAGAGGGAGACACAGAATCTAAAACAGGCTCCAGGCTCTGAGCTGGCTGTCAGTACAGAGCCCGACGTGGGGCTCAAACCCACGAACCATGAGATCATGACCTGAGCCAAAGTCAGATGCTTAACCAACTGAGTCACCCAGGTGCCCCTCCATTGTGTCTTTCAACTCCAGGGACAGATAGCAAGCTATTCACATGGCCATATTGAAGCCTTTGGGGACATACTGGACTGTTTTCTCCATAATTCATCTTCTAGTCAACCTAGAAGCTGTTTCTCAACCTGTACATTTCTTTTGTAGGCTGGTTGTAGGTAGTCATCTATAGGTGTGAAAATGGCATTCCTTCATCTTTTTTTGCAAGATCTATACACTTCACTCTACTTGGGGGTGTCTGTCATCTTACAGTCTCAACCAAAACTGAAACTAAGATAGTTTCATTTTAACATCCTGTCCCAGGAGACCCCCTTCAGCTTTCCTTAAGTAATTATTGAGAAAATTGTTGCCTTGGTTTCTATCATATTCTCTCCCCTTCTAAGCTCACCACACTGGAGGAAGTTCCAGCCTTTTCTCTGGAGTAGTGTAGCTGCCTCACTTCTTCCCTTGACTGAGACAGTTATTTTTCCTTGAAAGCTCCTTTCCTTCCTAGTTGGCCTGGCTTTGGAAGTAGTAACTTGAATTGTTTTCATGAGCCTTTCCCCAGCCCATGCTGATTTGAAAAATGAATGGCTCCAAATCAATTAACCTTGTGGAAATTGTTTTTCGTGCCCTAGGTGTTGCAAAACCAAGTGCAGTGTGTTTCATGTGTCTGGGAGTCTCAAGGAAAGTGGAAGAAGCAGCCATATCACAGTATGCTCTAAGCAGCCCCCTTGCCACGTGTCTTTTCCACCAGTCTACCATGGAGCCTAAAATGACACCATTGGAGAGTTTGCCTTGAGATTAAGACATTGCCCCTTTAGGATTGCCCTTTCAAATTTCCCTTAAAGGGTAATATATCAAATGATTATTACTTCAGATGAGGAATTGGCTTGCCACTCACTTTCCCACTATTGTGGTAAAAGAGGCCCATGGAAGAGGGAAAGGATGGAGGTCTTTGTTGATTTTAGGCTCCTTATCCATCCAGAGGACCACATCATTCTGAAACAAGATGACACAGTCTTGAACTCATTTGAACCAGGTTGTTCTCTGCCCCAATGTTGTTCAGTTAAAGCTATGGTCTATCAGGCTTGGTGCCATACAGCTGCAGGGTTTGTCCACACTCAGAGCATTTCCAGAAGACACTTAATCAGACAAGAAGAAAATACAAAGCCATGACACATAAGGAACTATCAAAGAAACAAGGTTTGTGGCCACCCCCCACCAAAAAAACCAAAAAACCCTAAATCAACAATAACAAAAAACAAAGGATGATTTGGAGGAAGACATGGCTTTCTGTTCCAGTATACAACAACAGGTCATGTGGATTTGTTCACATTTGTTCACAAATAAGCCACATTTGTGCTTCTGCTGGTAGATTTAATTAACCCTAAGGTCTTGCCACTCAAACTCTGGTCGGGAGCGTCCTCATCACCCGAGAAAGGCAAGAGCTCAGAGGCCCTCCCACGCTCTTTAACAACAGATCCCAGGTGATTTGAAGACACATTAAAGTCTGAGAAGTGTAGATGCAAGGAATACTCTCCCAGGTAGAGAACTTGGTAGCTGAGGAGGCAGGTAGAACTCTCACAAGATAGCTCCTTCACAAGTCAGGTGGGGTTGATATATTCATAGGGAACTTTGAAAAGTCAAAGCCATAGAAGTAGAAGAGACTGCTTGAGTGGTAGGGATCTCTCCGTTATTGGTGACAAGTGCAGATGCCCACTTGTTAGGGCCATTAGGGGTAACTCTGGCAACCCAGAGAAGTAGGAGCAAGATGCCATAGCTGGAGGTGGCAGAGGCTAGCTCCAGACAGCAGGAGGTGCCCCAGGAACCCCAGTGAGGGGCTTCCCAGAGGTAGAAGTAAGGATCCCAAGGCAGAGGGGCTCGTGTTAGAACAGAGACAGTATCTTTCAAATCTCTTTCTCAGGCCTTTGACATATAAACTTTCTTCTGTGATCTTTCTTCTGTGTCCTGGGCAAACCAGACTTCAGACCTCCTCAGCTGCCTGAATCTAGCCTGGAAGGTAGAGTTCTTGGCTTGAAATCAGGAACATCAGTCATTTCCCTTCAATTCTATTAATCGACAGCCAAACGTGGTGTGCATTTTAGGAGGCAGAACAGCTCTCTGGTGCTTTGGGAGAATGGAGGCAGAAACATCAATTTGACAACATTTGCAGTTCTGTCAGAAGTCATGTGATGATCACAGGGAAATTTACCTTAACCTTCGAATGCTGAAACGTTCTCAATTATAAATAATCTTAAGCTAGTGTTTTCCAAACTTGAATGTGCTCGCGAACCACCTGGCATCTTGTTAAAATGCAGATTCTGGCCTCTGTAGGGCTGGCGTGGGACCTGAGAGTCCGCATATCTAACAGGTGCCCAGG